ATCTGGGAAACATCCATACACACTCATTCACACTCATACATTAAGGCCAATTTGACTTATTCAATTCACCTCTACCTCATGTCTTCGGACCTTTTGGGGAAACCGGAGCACCCGGTCGAAACCCATGCGAACTTGGGGAGAACATGCAAACTCAACAAAGAAATGCCAACTGACCCAGCTGAGGCTCGAACCAGAGACCTTCTTGCTGAGACGCGAACGTGCTGTGGCACCGTGCAGCCCAATCCATTGATATGTTAGTCAAATTATATAGATTTAAAAATACGGCACCATTTACAGAATAAGAAGCTTCAATTTTCTAAAATATGGGAATCTTTCATAAGGTACTTGGAGGGGAGAGCTTCAACAGAGTTGTTTGATGGGGATATTGGTTGAAGTTAAGCCAGATCGTACACCAGCTCCCATTTTCTATAGCCTTTTCATTTGGTGTGCACTACAGATGGAAACCAAGACGGTGGTACTATTTTCTTTTACATACTCTGAGCTATTTTATTTGAGTCTGTGTATATATTTTCCCTTTTTCTACTGTAATTCTAGACTAAGGATTATTTTGTCGCATAATTCAGATAATGGTGTACAAATGTATACTTGGATTGTTTGTAATGTGTAAGTAGACCAAGAAAAAAAGTTATATATACAGTTGAAGTCAGAATTATTAGCCCCCTTTGATTTAAAAAAAAAAAATTCCCAAATGATGTTCAACAGAGCAGGGAAATTTTCACAGTTTGTCTGACAATAATTTTTCCCCTGGAGAAAGTCTTATTTGTTTTATTTCGGATAGAATAAAAGCAGTTTTTCATTTAAAAAAAAAACATTTTAGGGTTCTTTAAGCTCTATTTTTTTCGATAATCCACAGAGCAAACCATCATTATACAACAACTTTCCAAATTACCCTAACCTGCCTAGTTAACATAATTAACCTAGTTAAGCCTTTAAATGTCTCTCTAAGTTGTATAGAAGTGTCTTAAAAACAATCTTGTAAAATATTATTTACTGTCATCATGGCAAAGATAAAATAAATCATTAGAAATGAGTTTTTAAAACTATGATGTTTAGAAATGCGTTGAAAAAAAACTTCTCTCTGTAAAACAGAAATTGGGGGAAAAATAAACAGGGGGGGGGGTAATAATTCTGACGTCAACTGTATATAGACTTGGATTATACAAATACAAGCTATGACAGAAAGACAAAGGAGTCTTTCACAGAACTTGCAGGTTATAATATTGCACAACACATAATTACTGATCTGATGAAATTGACATTAGAAAAATAATAGAAAATAAATGATGTAGAAGGATTGAATATTCAGCTCTGATGTGTTTACCTCCACTGTTATATTTGAAGCAAAATAAACTCACGAGTGTAAAAAATGCATTTAAAGAGGACAAATTATGCCCTCTTTTACAAGATGTAAAATAAGTCTCTGATGTCCCTGAAGGGCATATGTGAAATTTCAGCTCAAAATACCAAACAAAAAATGCTTTATAACTCTTTTCAACTGCCCCTTTCAGGCTTTAATCCGAATAGTGTCGTTTTGGTGACCGTTGCTTTAAATTTAAATGAGATTGTGCTCTTTTCAAAAGAGGGCGGAGCTACAAATGCCTATGTGTCAGCATAGTGGCAGATTCAAAAAACAAGACTAACATCCTATGCTATGTCACTAATGGGCGGGGCTTTCCCCCTCTGATGACACGAACAAAGAGAGAATGTCAATTAAAGCGTTTCTGCAGACTGTTTTTATGAAGTGTGATTATAAAAAATTAAAACAATAAATTTTTTATCATTAGAAGCTGGTCATATACACACAACTGTGTTTAAATCCCTTATAAAAGTGTTTTTTGCATAATAGGTCCACTCAAAAGGAGTTTCTTTACGGTTCACGTGGCCTACAGTGGTTGTAGTTAATGATGCTATGCTGTAGGCATCTCCTCCAGAAATCTGCTGTCATTTGAATAATTGCGCGTGTAGGTGAAAAGATTTAATTGAATCAGCATGCAGGAATGTGAGGATGGAGCCAGCGCAGCCAGAGCGGTTGAGTTTGAAGATGAACTTCCTGCTTGAATCTGGTCCATTTCTCGAAACAATCCAGGCATAAATGTTTCACATGCACACACCATGATGATGTCAGTGTGACATCACGGCCCTTATCTGCCGAAACCCTTGCTCCCGTTTGTATATGTTTGAGACAGACAAATCCAAGTGTTTTTCCATTCACTCTCAGTGTATTTCTAAGGGATTCATACAGCCAGACATGAGGAATGTCGTTTTTTTATTCTCATCGTCATAATTTCAGTATTGTGAAACTCAAATGTACAGTTAAAATCAAAATTATTAATCAAATATACAGTTAAAATCAAAATTATTCACCCTACTCTGAGTTTTTTTTTCTTTTTAAAATATTTTTCAAATGATGTTCTTTTAGAAAAAGTCTTATTTGTTTTATTTTGGCTAAAATAAAAGCAGATTTTATTAGTTTTAAACCCATTTCAAGGTCAATATTGACAAAGACTTGCTTAATTACTTTAAAGAACATTGTTCAGCCTTTAAATTGCACTTTAAGCTGAATAACTAGTATCTTGAAAATATATATAGTATAAAAAAGTACTGCTATCATGGCAAAGATAAAAGAAATCAGTAATTAGAAATTGGCTATTAAAACTATTGTGTTTAGAAATGTGAAAATATCTTCTTTCCTAATATTTCTGACTTTAACTGTATCATTTTCTAATAGAGTCATTATTCTGTGCTGTCCATGTAAATGACAGAGTTTCCAGTTTAACAGTTTAAATTGTTTGTTTGTTTGTTTACCCAAATATGAATATTGCGTCATGATTTGATAAACTGCTTCATCTATTGAATTTTTTCAGTACTGGCCTAGCTTGCAGTGCTTAGATGAAACACATTGCTGTGTACACAAAGAGTGTCACCGTTTCACTTGCTACACACTACATCAATCATCTGGTGTTTATACAACTCCATTTTTATTACTACACAGCTCTCTGGAATACCCGACTCTGATTGGTCAATTATGACATTCCAGGGTATGTCGTTCCCTGATAACAACAGGTGAAACTGATTACACAATCTGATCTGGGCAGTTTCGATTCTTAACCTTTATTGATTATATTATTTAAGGCTATAAACATTTCATATAACGAGTGTAGTGACAAAATAAATCACTGTGATTAATATTATTATTTCGGTTTGTTGTTAAAAGGACCTAAAATTAAATGTCTAAACACACTTATCACACTGCTTTGTATTTTTCATCTGCTTTTTTTGACTAAAAACAGAAAGCTAACCATCATTCCTTCTGTTTTAACCAACATTAAATGCAGTTTTAAACATGTTTAAGTTTAAAGTGAAATCCACTAACCTTTCGTTTGCATTTTTAAATTGTTCAGTTTGTATTTGTTTGTATTAATTTATGTACATTTTTTGGCGTTGTTATAGGAACATTTGATTTTTTTATCTGAAGTATTGTTTGTTAAATTGCATTTGCAAAACTACCTCCTATAGATCCATGTTGATCTAGTTTTTCAACAAAACTCCATTAAGCTGCTTCATAAAAGTCAGACATGGTTGTGCGATTTGATGTGAAATATCTAATTGTGATTTTTCTGACTGATATTTTGATTTGATTAGTCAAGCTTCACCTCGGTATTCTTAATAATGTGCAGAACACACGTTAAATGAAATGAATATGACACTTTGACTGTACATATAAATATTTATTTATTTATTATTTATTAACTGTTTTTATAACATTTTTAGAGCATATAATACTTTACATAACGGCCATATTGACACTGAATAATAGGTCAATGTTTGCACAAGCTTTAAGTTTTAATATTTCACAAATAAAAATTCTAAATTAACGCACACAAGTTTCAATGTTGATTTTTTTTCTCTATATATACAGTTGAAGTCAGAATTATAAGCCGCCATTTGAATTTTCTTCCTTTTTTCTTATATATATTTTCAAAATTATATTTAACAGAGCAAGGAAATGTTCACTGTATGTCTGATAATATTTTTTTCTTCTGGAGAAAGTCTTATTTGTTTTATTTTGGCTAGAATAAAAGCAGTTTTTTAAAAAAAAAAAATTAAGGTCAAGATTATTAGCCCCTTTAAGCTATATTTTTTTCTACAGATCAAACCATTATTATACAATAACTTGCCTAATTACCCTAACCTGCCTAGTTCACCTTATTAACCTAGTTAAGTATTTAAATGTCACTTTAAGCTGTATAGAAGTGTCTTGAAAAAGTCAAATATTATTTACTGTCATCATGACAAAGATAAAATAAATCAGTTTTTAGAGATGAGTTATTAAAACTATTATGTTAGAAATGTGCTAAAAAGTTAAACAGAAATTAGGGAAAAAAATAAACAGGGGGGCTAATAGCTCTGACTTCAACTGTATATTTGTAAAAACCCTAAAATCATTCATCATATAAAGTGACTGCATTACTTCACAAAACTTTAAATCACGACTTCATGTCTTTTTGTTTACCTAAGCTTTAAAAAGGCATCAAAAACATCATACTTAGTATTTTTAAGATCAAGTCTTCTGTGTCTGGACCACATGTGAGTGTGAGTAAACGACAACAGGCTGATCATTTTTCAGGTGACCTGTCCCTTTAAGAACCGGCTCTGTTTGTACATGTGTGTCATGTGAGGGAATGTGATACGCGGTCAGTTTGAAGTTTCTGGAACTGCTTTCTCTCCTGAGAAGTGGAATGTTGAGCACTTCCTGTCTTTGTCTGCCCTCATTGTTGGTACTTGCTGAGCTTGTTTCGATCAGCCACACTTCTCCTACCTCACACATTTCTAACCACACTTGTTTCTTTGTTCATTATGCCTCAGTCTCTCTCTTCCCCCTCTTGTTTGTCGTCCTTTTCCCATTGTCCAACAGTTGATCAAAAATGGTGACTCTGCACATTTTTAATGTCATCTTTCTCTTTGTTTTATATGTCTAGTGAGTCGAGTATCTGTCAGGCCCGGGCCACTGTGATGATCTATGACGATGGCAGTAAAAAGTGGGTCCCGGCAGGCACGGGCCCACAGGCCTTCAGCAGGGTCCAAATCTACCACAATCCCACCAATAATGCCTTCAGAGTGGTGGGGCGTAAGATGCAGACTGACCAGCAGGTAAACAAACTGCAAGCACATACATAGATGAAGCTGTTAAATGTAACGCCGGCACAATCACGGGAATTTTAAATCAATCAAACTTTGCCTCAAGAGAACAATTCAAATGGGGTGTTCAATTACCAATTCTTGATTGTGTTTATGGGATATACTTGAAAGTTTTATTTATTCATTTATTCATTTTCCTTTAGTTTATTCCCTTTATTCATCAGGGGTCGCCACAGCGGAATCGCCAACTTATCCAGCATATGTTTAACCAGCGAATGCCCTTCCAGCTGCAATCCAGTACTGAAAAACATCCATACACGCTCTTTCACACACATACACTAAAGACAATTTAGTTTATTCAATACCTATAGCGCAGGGGTTTTCAAAGTGTGAGGCGCGCCTCCCCTGGGGGGCGCCAGAGCATGTCAGGGGAGGCGCGGGAAGAAATATAATATAATAAAAATATAATTATTAAGTTTAATTATTATATGTATTTTTTATTATATTTAAATGTTTTAATTAAACAAAGCAAAAAAAATAATACGTCATATATAAGAAAACCTTTTTTACCCAGAAGGCCATAGCTGTGAATTCGCTTCTGTTTGGCAAACCCGCCAATACAGGTATATGCCTGCTAATACAATGGGTCGGTTTCTGAGACCCCCCCCGATTCAAAGCTGTAATGAAGTTCACGGCCCTTTGGCCGCCGGGAAGAAGGAGGCGGAGAACCGACGCAGTTTTAAAATGATTTATTAATAACAGTGACAGCAGCTCCTCACGGAGGCTGCCGTCTAAACCAAAACAAACGGACGAGCTCCTCACGGAGACTGCCGTCAAAATGAAAGCAAAAGTAAAATATGTCCGGGCCCGGTCCTCTCTCGGCTTCCTCTGCCCTCGTTCCTCCTTTTATGATCCAGAGCTCCTTCTGTGGGATCCGAGGCAGGTGCGCACCGCAGGTGTATCCACTTACTCGGTGGCCTCACTCCGTTCCCACGGCTCTCGGCCACGCCCCCTCGCCACAAAAGCCTTCAAGTTCAGGGCTTAAACCCAAAAGACGACGATATGATGATCAGTATTTGAGTTTAGGATTTACGTGGACAGGACCAGCTGATGAACCATGACCTTTATGTGTGGTTTGTCAAAATATTTTGGCTAATGACAGCATGAGACCCGCTAAACTTCGACTGTTTTGACTGGGATGGACAGTTCTTCGATCTGTTCTATTCATAGTGAACCATCATCCTAGTTTCAATACTTATAACTCTGTAAATAATTGCACTTTCATGCAAATGATGATAGAAGTGAGTTAACAGTCTGACATCTGTTTGTGTCTTTATATATACTGTATGTATGTATATATATATATATATATATATATATATATATATATATATGCGTGCGTGCGTGCGTGTTTGGGAGGAGGGGGGCGCCAATGGATAAGTTGTGTCAAAAGGGAGGCCCACTGTCTTAGACTTTGAAAAACCCTGCCTTAGAAAACTCAGATTCAGGGCTGCACAATATATCGTTTTAGCATCAATAGTCACATCGCAGGATATGCAGCATTGAGTCTGGATTACATTTGATCAATTTGCAAGGCCTGTGACTGTGAGGATTTTAAAAGCATTCAGGCATAAGAAATTGTGTACCGCTTACACTTTAATAATGATTCATTTTATTAAACTGTGTACAACGAAGACTACACAGTATTATTTTACATTTGATTATTCAATGACTGTACACCTAAATAAAGTTAGACTTATTTTCCAAGTTAGATATTTTCCAATATCGTGCAACCCTAGGCTGATTAATTGCTGGACCACTGTGTTCTGATTAGCTATCTGTCTAGTCCACGTTTAAAGAAACGTCACTCCCGGGGTGGAGTTTAAAAGTCAGAGTGAAATCAGAATTTGCAATGTTTATTTAACTAGCTCACATTACTATTCATAAGTTGAATCATTAATCAGTCCAAAGTAATTCACTGGAAAATTTTGTTTTTTTTGGTAATCTTCAATGAAAGTCTAACCATTTGCTTCCAAGTTGGGAATGGTGGTCCTTTTGTTGACGTCAACCTGATGGCTTCCATGGCAACTGCTCATTGTTTCTCTCTCTATTGTTGTCATGATACTGGAATTTGGTACCTATCGGTACTGGAATTTTAAAAGCGTCCATTTCCCACTAACAAATTGAGCGCTGTTGAGCACGTTCTTAAACTTAAATTGCTTATTTGTCATTGTGTTCACATGCTCAACAGAAATGACTGTGATTGGCCATGAAGGTCATCAGTTCACCCAACTCACCGCTGTTTACTGAGTGTGAACACAGATACAGGGACACTGGAGTGTACTAAAGTTATGAAGATCAGCTGATCTGTTTATAAGCTGACATACGAGTGATCCGCTGATGAATCAACTGATATTCACCACTTTAAAACGATCCAGTGTCCTTGTGTCTGTTGTTAAACTCAGTAAAAAGTGGTGAGGTTGGTGAACCGATGACCTTCACAGCCAATCACAGTCATTTCTGTTGAGCACATGAACACAATGGCTGCGTCCGAAACCGCATACTTCTATACCATATAGTTCGCTTAAATCAGTATGCGAGCCGAGCAGCATGTCTGAATTCTTAGAATTCGAAAATCAGTATGCCAGAAGTACCCGGATGACTTACTACTTCCGGCAAGATTCTGGAGTGCGCATCCCATGCACGCTGCGCTATCCCATTATGCCCCGCGAGAGAATTCATGTATGGAAGTAAAGCAACGCAACTGATGCCGGTAGGTCACGTGACCATGACAAAATGGCGGATGTAGTACGTCCGAATTCCATTCATGCTTTTCACATTCATACTGTGTAGAACGTACTTTTCTAACGGCCAAGAATTACATTTGAATTCAAATGCAGTACCTACTGAGTAGTAGGCAGTTTCGGACACAGCCAATGACAAATCAGTGCTGTTTTAAAATGTGCTCAACAGAGCTCAAATGTTAGCAGGAAATGAACGTTTCAACATTGGTATCAAATTCCAGTATCGTGACAACCCTAACCCTCTCTTACTGTTAGTTTGCTATTAGTAATTGATTGGCAAAAGAAAGCCCTCCCCCTAATCAATATTCAGATTCAGTTAGAAGTTCATCAACATATCGAAATAAGTCTCTTCTGCAACTTCCGGTCCCTGCCAGCTGTTTGTTGTAGTCTTTAAAAATTTTATTTCTGTTAAATAAAATATTGAATTGAACTTTGCGCTATAGAACCACATCATCACATCTAAAGTTAATCATGTGAATTCATAATCAAGGACCTCTTTAAAGTTAGCAAGACCTTTGACGTAGTCTTCAAGAATTAGTGGCATATAGACTAGCAAAAGCGGCTTATAAACTGCATCCAAAAGTGACACTTAAATAATGTTAATAATGTTTATATATACAATTCTGAAAACATAATTAAGACGTTACTTTTGGAAAAATTAAACTAAATCACAGTCTGTTCATTTTTATTGGTCAGATAGAATGAAAACATGATGAACCTGATTTATATTCTCACATTTGCATTCATAGCCTGAATAAAAACAGCTTTCACTCTCCACATGGCAGAACTATCATGTTCTATTATAAACAATAACTCGTACAGGAAAAATTTTACCCCCTTTTCCTAAAATGTCCAACTCTGACTGAAGGACATTTCTTTTTTTATTTATTTCTTTTTTTTTGTATTAAATAAATAAAAGATGCCTCCTTAAACTAAACATGACAGTTGTTCCAGATTGCCAAAATAAGCAACAGACAAAAGAAAAAATGTTGAAAAGTGATGTTTGCAGTTCCTAAGGATGATTTCAGTCCCCTTTCCTTGATAACCTGCAGGGCAAACAATGATGTGCAACTTCTTATTGCTAAATGAAGTGGAATCAGACACGAGTTCGTCAGAAAACACTTGATACCATATAAGGTGTGAATTCTGAACAGCATTTACCACACAGGGCACTCAGAAAGACTCTCTTGAAATGTTTAAAACGATGTAACTAACATACTAAAGAACTTCCCGTTTAGTTGTATTGACAATACAGCCATTTAAAAAAAATACAGAAGCATAACCGTGTTTTAAAGCAGCGGGATCATACTTCTGTTAAATGTATTGTTGGGAATGATTTATTTATTGTTGTCATTTCACATAATAAAAATGTTGTTTTCCTTCAGAATATAAAATGAGAAACTGACCAGAAGACCTTTTTTTTACTTAAAATTAAAATTAAATTATAAAGACGCAATAACATGCTCTAAATATTCAGTAAATGGTCAATGGTTATGAATGTGTTCTTATATCAAACATCATTCCTTCTTTTAAGTAGAAATAGGCCTGGTTACTTAGTTTGAATGCTTTTTGGAGCTACTGAAGTTAAAGCAAGGTGATTTTCTCTTTTTTATTTTCATTGAACAGTAACTTACATTTGTTTCACTTGTCACAAAAAACTCTGACTTTGATCATTTTAAATATATTGCAGCTTCTTTATAGTCCTTTTGTTGTCATTTTTGAAGTTTAACAACCCTAGTGTCTTTCATTAGTGGGATAATTCATTCATTCATTCATTCATTCATTTTCTTGTCGGCTTAGTCCCTTTATTAATCTGGGGTCGCCACAGCGGAATGAACCGCCAACTTATCCAGCACGTTTTTTACACAGCGGATGACCTTCCAGCCGCAACCCATCTCTGGGAAAGGGATAATTCATTCAAAAGTAAAAATGTACTTACCATTTGCACACCTTTAGGTGGTTTAAAATTTTTATGCTAACAAAATATACAAAAATATATATGTTCAATTTGAATATTTTTTGTTTGAAAATCTGTAATTATTGACATCCATCTAATCATACTTTCTTTAGTTCATTCAATTAATCATTTTTCTTAGGGTAGACTTAGTCCCTTCATTCATCAGAAATCGCCATAGCGAAATGAACCACCATATCCAGCATAAGTTTTACACAGCGGATGCCCTTCCAGCCGCAACCCAGTACTGGGAAACACCCACACACTCACACTACAGCCAATTTAGTTTATTCAATTCATCTATAGCGCATGTCTTTGGACTTTGGGGGAAAACCGGAGCACCCAAAGGAATCCAATGCCAACACAGGGAGAGCATGCAAACTCCACACAGAAATGCCAACTGACCCAGCCGGGACTCAAACCAGTGACTTTCTTGCTGTGAGGCGACAGTGCTTTCCACTGAGCCACTGTGTTGCCTATTGACATCCATAAAAGGAAAGAAATTATTACAGAATAAATGCTGGTTTCCTGCAAATCACATACTTTGGAACTATTCTGTGCCTTTTTTTGTACAAGTAGCGCATTCAGCGCATTGTGTATAGGGCATATGCGGAGCTAGTGTTTCTTCCCACATTGATAAACTTCCAGTAAATGCTTAATGTGAGTTAGGGTTAGGGATGTTGTAATGTAATTAAAATACAATCAGTTGAATATACTTTGGCATTCATTTAGTTGCTCAAGCACAAAACCAGACAAAAAGCTGTTTACTCGCTCACGCCCATCAGAATCGACAGGCTCCTGCAGGGCTCCATTAAATATATTGGGGTAAAATAAATGTTTATTTTTTAAAGACATGGCAGGGAAAATATCATTTAATGCAGTGCTTCTCGTACAATCTGAGCCTCACTTTATATATCAGTGGAGATTTCTAATTTTTAAAGAAAGCAGATCTTAAACGCACCAATTTTGTAATGGCAAACAGTTCACCGTAAGCGATTAACCCCAGTTACTGACAAATTAAAAGTCCTTTAGCATACTTATGCTTACACCCTATTGCATTGCATAAGTAGCGCATTATAAGAAGCACATTCACAATGAAAATTCTAAAACAAATAAATGTTATTTGCCAATAAACCGAAGTGTTTGAACACTTTATTCACAATGGTTGCACTACCTCCTGATGGCAAAGGAGGTTGCTCCCACTATTTAGTTTAGTAATTTATTTCACTAATTTGAAAACTTCAACTGTTTGCACTGTTGTGTATTTAAATTTCTTTTTTAATAAAATTTTTTTAAAAACTAGTGTTTTGTTTGGGACGCAACTTTGTTTTGTTGATCGATTTAGGCAGAAGAGACAAACTGCAAGCTTTGGATGTTTAAAATAATTTCATGTTTTCTAAACGTAAATTTTGTAGCACACTAGCTTATAGATTTACATAAAAAAAATTTATTTTAATTTCAAGGGACCTTGAAGGGTATTTGATAGTTTATTTTAGATGAAATCTGAGAGCTCCCTCATCCTCTATCGATGGCAGTTTCCAGAATTGTTCAACATCCTGACAAATATCAAAAACCAGACTGACAAAACAGACAATATGCCTTCAGTGGTTTAATCTGAATATTATCCAGCTACAAGAATATGTTTGTGCCACACATAAAACAAATAACTTCCACAGTTTCTTCTCCTCAGTGTCAGCATATTGCGCACATTCCCGAATATCTTAATTTCTATGTTCTGAACAAGGAAAGGATGGTATTTAATTATTTTTATTATTCAATTTTTTACATTTTCTCCAACAATTAAACTGTATTATCAGTTTACACATTTTAACATCCTTTTAACGTCCCGTGTCCCTTCACCTCCCAAACAGCATCAGTAATTAGATGTTAAGGATGATATTTAATAACAGAATTTTCCTCTTTGGGTGAATCCTTTAACAGCCAGAATTGAACTGTGCAAATTTTCATTTATGTAAACTCTCCCTTTCATATTCATATATACACATATTTCATATTGTTTAAAAAAAAGCAGCCTGAACATTAAACTTAATATCCATCACCTCAAAATGAAATATTCCTCTTAAATTCAAATATTTTCTGATATTAACTTTCACAGTCCATTTCATCACGTGCATTTCGATTCTCTCAGCCTTGTCGCCCTTTATATACGAGAGACACAACTGCTCCCCAGAGACGACTGCTAAAGTAGATGTTGCTTCCTGTAAGATAGCCAAACCATTTCCTGTGCCAGTTAAACCCTCCTCCTCCTCCCCCATTCCCATTCTCTACCTCTTCTCGGTCCATCTGTCTCTTTACACACTCATTTCTTTTTGCCTCAATGACTCAGGGACTTTTGTCTCTCCCTGTAGTACTCTTTCGGTTGGTTTGTGTGTTAGCAGTCTGTGTCTGATAGCAGTTTGTGTGTGTTGATGGCATTGTTCATTGGTGTGAACTTTTTTTTTTTTTTGGACATTTTCTCTTCTTTCTTCCTCTCTTCCTTTTCTTTCCTGCTCTCTGCTTTGTGGAATTCATGACTGTAATACAAACAGAGAAACGAAGAGTCAGCAGATTGAAATAACTCTGCTGGTAGAGCCCCCTCCTGGACAGTCTGATAATTTAATTAATATATTTGCTTCTGCTTGGCTATGCAAAGACGTTTACAAATCTGTTTGCACTTTTGGGTTGAAGTACTGTGAGGGCGGGTGGGTTGGAGCAAATCTTTTGGTGCATTCAAGTAGTGCAAATCTAAATCTCATTTAAAATAGATGTGCCAACTTCCTAGATGTGTAATCTTAGTGTTCTTGATTTTCAAAATATTCACACTGATAAACACACAAAAGTAATGATGGCAAAGTAGTCTCTTTTGAAGATTTTGAAATCAGTAGTTTGGGAAAGAGTCTTTGTGTTTGTTCTTAGTAAAAAAAAAAAATTCTAAATAATCACACTGAAAAGCAGCCGAAAGTTCATCATTTCAGATATTTGTTAATGTGGCAGAGTAGTTTCTGCAGAATATTTTAAAATCAGCTGTTTAAAAAAAAGAGTCTTAGTGTTTGTTTTTAATAAAAAAGTAAATATTTGCAAATAATTAAACCGAAAAGCAGGAAAAAGTGTATAATTACAGATGTTTTTAATGATGGCAGAGTATTTTCTGTCAAAGATTTTGAAATAAGTAGTTTGAGAGAGTCTTTGTGGTTGTTCTTAATAAAGAGTGTAACTTTTTACAAATAATCACAATGAAAAAGCAGCCAAAAGTACATCATTTAGGACAGTGGTCAACAAACTCGTTCCTGGAGGGCCGGTGTCCTGCAGATTTTAGCTCCAACCCTAATCAAACACACCTGAACAAGCTAATCAAGGTCTTACAAGGTATACTTGAATCATCCAGGCAGGTGTGTTGAGGCAAGTTAAAGCTAAACCCAGCAGGGACACCGGCCCTCCAGGACAGAGATTGGTGACCCCTGATTTAGGATATTTTAATGATGGCAGAGTAGTTTCCTTAGAATATTTCAAAAAGAGTAGAGAGTTTTGTGTTTGTTCTGAATAATGATTTTTTTTTTTAATAATCACACTGAAAAGCAGCCAAAAGTGCATCATTAAAAATATTTTAATGTGGCAGAGTAGTTTCTGTCAAAGATTTTGAAATTAATAGTTTAAGAAAGACTCTTTGTTCTTAATAAAAAAAGTAAAATCGTTGGAAATAATCACACAGAAAAGCAGCCAAAAGTACATCCTTTCAGATATTTTTAATTTAATGGAATAGTTTCTTTTGAAGATTTTGAAATCAATAGTTTGAGAGAGTCTTCATGATTGTTCTTAGTTAAAAAAAGTAAATCTTTGAAAATAATCACACCAAAAAGCAGCTAAAAGTACATCATTTAAGATATGTTAAATGATGACTGAGAAGTTTTTGTCAAAGATTTTAAAATCAGTAGTTTAAGAGTCTTTGTGTCTGTTCTTAATAAAAAAATACTTTTTTTCTTAAATAATCACACTGAAAAGCAGCCAAAAGTATACATTACTTAAGATATTTTAATAATGGCAGAGTATTTTTTGGCAAATATTTTGAAATTAGTAGTTTGAGAGAGAGTTGGTTGATATCTTTTAGTTTATTCCAATATATGTGAATTAAAATCTTACTTTAAATGATTGTGCCAAGTTCTTAGATATAAAAATTGTGTATTTATGTTGTGCATTTATTATAAGTGTATGTGTGAATGAGCTTGTATGGGTGTTTCCCAGTACTGCGTTGTGGCTGGAAGATACGGCGGAATAGTTGACAATTCATTCCGCTGTGGTGACCCCTGACAAATAAAGGACTAAACTGAAGGAAAATGAATGAACAACAGATATATCTCATTAATTAATTCATTCATTCATTAATTCATTCATTCATTCATTTTCTTTTCAGCTTAGTCACATTGTTAATCAGGGATTGCCACAGTGGAATGAACCGCCAACTTGTCCAATATATGTTTTACGCAGCAGATGAATGATATATCTATATTGCGTAAATCACAATAAACTGCTTAGTTGTTTTATTATCGTTTTAAATATGTTGAAGACACATAAATAGTCAATTAATTCAGAAACTGAAAATATGTTTGCACAAAAAAAAAAATGTATTTAAAGAAATTCTGTACGAATTACATTTTAAAACTAAATGAAATTAATGAACAAAATATACACCAAATTGAACTCAAAAGAGAGAGAATACCACAGCGTAAGATAAAACCACCATATTTTACATTCATACATTTGTGTCTCCTCCAGGTTGTGATAAACTGTCCAATTGTAAAGGGATTAAAATATAATCAGGCCACGCCAAACTTCCACCAGTGGCGGGACGCCCGGCAGGTGTGGGGACTCAATTTTGGCAGCAAGGAAGATGCGGCGTTGTTTGCCAATGGCATGATGCACGCTCTCGATGTGCTCAGCTCGATCCCTGATGGAGGTAACACACACATATACACAGCACCATGACACAGCATATCTGTTAATGTATAATGAAAACAGTCAACACAACCTCTCTAATATCTTTAGGTTACTCCGCACGGCCTGTGTCTAATGGACCATCACCAGAAGAGCTGGAACAGCAGAGAAGGTACAGGCCTGGGGTCGAAATTAGACTGGGGTTTATTTTATTTCCAGAATTGAAGTCATTTAAGCTTTCTTCACTTTCTGTGTCCTTGTGTGAATTGCTGTAAGACAGCGTTTCCTGGTCAGACTTTGACCTCATTTCTGAAGCACACACACTCCTTTACACACAAGCACACACTCTCAAGGGATTTACTGGTATTAACGCTGGAGTCTTTAGCTTTCCGTGAGCCCCTGAAGTGACGGGGCAGAAGTCCGGGTCAGGCTTTCTGACTCACAAATCCTCTTCCACATTCTCCTCTTGCTTTCAATTTCGAGACTACAGTTTAGAAATATTGCTGCATTTACAAATCTTGACTTTTTTTTTTGGTTTTGATTCGTAATTAAGTTGATTAAAAAACGATGAAGAGAAGTGCATAGAGGGAGACACTGCTTGCTGCAGAGCCACTTGGGCTCCCATGAGGGGGCGCTTGAGCTTCAACTCCTCCTATAAGCTGTTTTAGGCCCCGTTTACACTAGTGCATTTTAGTTTTAAGACAGCGTTTTAGTTAAAAAACGATCTGCGTCCACACTAGCGTTTCAATTAGCATCTCTGAACATATTTTCCATCCACACTACGCCACCAAAAACCTATATCACGTGACCTTTCGCGCACTCTGGGCATGCGCGTTCTAGTAAAAACAAAAAGCATTTTGTTATTGTAAGTCAACAAACGCCGGTTGAACGTTAAACGCGATGGCAAAGAAAGGAAGAGAGGTATTTTTGTGGACAGATGACGAGGTCGAGTTGTTTCTAAACGTAACAAATGAATCACTGCACAATGGTGCCTAAAACAGACAATAGTGCAAACAACGCTCCCATTTCTGTGCCCATGTTGTTGTTTACAGTACTGTCTTCCGGTAGCGTTAAAGCCATATGTTATAGTCATGTGATAGGGACTTGACGAATAAGCGAAGGATACGCAATGATAGAAAAGCCCCGATCAGGTAGCGAATCTCAGCAGTCCCGCCTCCGTTTTCAGATGTCTCCGTTTTTCTTCATCCACACTGAAACAGAGCAGCAGCGTTTTAGAATGAAAACGGCCTCTCCAGCGTTTTCAAAACGCTCCGTTTTCGGCGCTCGAGAACTCCTGCGTAGTGTGGACGGATGGCGTAACCGTAGGAAAACTTACACGTTTTAAAAAGAAAACGCATTAGTGTAAACGGGGCCTTAATGCGTACACCCACCCCACCCCTAACCCCAACCCCCAGTGACATCACTTGTAGAAGAAGTGCAAGGAAGGAGGAGCTGGAGCTCAGCTCTGCCCAAGTGGCTCTGCAGTGAGTACCACTTGCATAGAGGAGGAGCAGGAAGCTATCATACTTAGGCCCCATCCCAATTCTACCCCTTAGCCCTTCCCCTTATCCCTACCCCTCATTTTGTGCGTTCACGTGAAGGAGTAAAGGTGTCCCAATTCTCTTTAGTGTGAGGGTGTATGGTTAAGGCCCTATTCACACAGAGCTTTATCTTCAACGCTTGAAAGAGGGCGTGTCTGAAGTTGAGGATGATGCGATCATCATATCAGCATCAGCTAATGAAATGAGTCAGCAATTGGCTACTGTCTTAGCTTGTGTATTTGCATACTGCCATCTGATTGGCTGATGCTTCGATTGGCGCTTGAAAAGTTGAGAAAGTCCCAACTTCTGCAGTAAGCAACGCCACTTTAATTTTTAATGGCGTAAAAGGCCCTTCTTGCTTTGTCTTTCAGTTCATTCACAGCCAAATTTTGATTTCCATTAGCACTTATTTTTAACCCAAGGTGTGTGTAGCTTGTGGCAGGTTCAGCCTTTCTCATACCAAGGGTAAAACTGTTTCTTTCCCTGACATCTGGGTTTTTTCTGGAATATTAGGGTTTTGGTTTTCTTTGGGTTAATGTTCAGAATCCAGGTCTGACAGAAGCTGTGCAGGATATCCAGCTGCTGCTGTAGACCCTTTTCTGTTGGCACCAGAGCATCTGCAAACAGCAGGAACTTAGTGAGATACAGTTTGAGACCCGGCATATCTGCTTGCTCTATGAGCATTGCCAGCCAATTGATTGGTGCAAATATCGAAGTGGGCCGGTAACAGTGGACAGCCCTGTCTCACAGTTTCACATAGTCATGAATCTGCTTTTGCTGAATGTTCAAGGTTGGTGCCGCTTTTTACATTGCTTGAAAGGATTATCGAAGGATTGGGCTTAATTTTTAACAAAGCATTTTATTATTTGTGACTGTAAATATTTCAAAGGAAACAAGGAAAGTGCTTAAGCATGTAATTTTGGCCGTTTTGAGCTGTTTGGAAGACTTTGTAAATGTTCTTAATTTGTTCACAGCTCTTGTGGAATCAAGAATGAATAGTGGAATATTTATATACAGTTGAAGTCAGAATTATTAGCCCCCTTTTGATTTTTTCCCCTTTTTTAAATATTTCCCAAATAATGTTTAACAGAGCAAGGAAATTTTCACAGTATGTCTGATAATATTTTTTCTTCTGGAGAAAGTCTTATTTGTTTTATTTCGGCAAGAATAAAAGCAGTTTAAAATTTTTTTAAGTTATTTTTGGGACAAAATTATTAGCCTCTTTAAGCTAATTTTTTTTCCGATAGTCTACAGAACAAACCATCATTATACAATAACTTGCCTAATTACCCTAACCTGCCTAATTAACCTAATTAACCTAGTCAAGCCTTTAAATGTCACTTTAAGCTGTATAGAAGTGTCTTAAAAAATATCAAGTAAAATATTATTTACTGTCATCATGGCAAAGATAAAATAAATCAGTTACTAGAAATAGGTTTTTAAAACTATTTTGCTTAGAAATGTGCTGAAACAATCTTCCCTCCATTAAACAGAAATTGGGGAAAAAATAAACAGTGGCGCTAATAATACAGGGGGGCTAATAATTCTGACTTCAACTATATATATATATATATATATATATATATATATATATATATATATATATATATATTTTTTTTTTTTTTTTTTTTTTTTCTCTTTTAAATACAAGAAACATGGATGAATTTTTGGCCAAATAGTGTGAGCAGTATTTTTAAATAATCTTTGTTTTACTGTAGTAAGTTAGTAATTTTAATGATTTAAGTTTTTTTTTTTAAACCTTTCTCTTTTAGTCTCTTTCTCTCTCTTGTCTCTGTTATAGTTATTTATTCCATGATAAAATCTCTACATGGAGCCGGTGGACTCATGTCTTGACTTGACTCAAATGCTTTGAATGGCTTTGAGAGAGGCTTGACTTAACTTGAAACTTGACATTGCAGTCTTGCCACAGTATGCATGCTGCTGTTAAACGTTACATAAATGTGTACTGAATGAAATGTATGTATGTGTACATATACATTGGGATTATATTTCCATATAATCCGTTACATGCCATGTATGCCACAATGTGAAAGAAAAGATGTAGCTAGCACAGTTTCACTGCATGTCTTTCTATTTTGATTTGATTTAGTCTTATTTAGATTACACTGCATTTTTTATTTATTTATGTTCGAGATGATGAAATCCTCATGTACATCCCACGAAAAGGGACTCTAGTTTTAAATATTATTGTATGCCTTATCCTAAATAAATGGTGGCAGAAAGAGCTTAAAGTGCTGCAATTTAAGAAAACACTTGCGATTACAAAACACGCCAGCAAATTAAGAAAAGATCCTCATTCGTTTGACAGCACACGTGCTGCAAATTCTCACAACGCAAAACACATTTAAAAAAAAAAAAACACACAATGCATTTTCTCACAACACTTGTAAAAGCAACAGAACACAACAGAAATGTTTTAGGGGTCCAAGTTTTTTGTGTTTATTAGCCTAGTTTTTTGTGTTTATTTTATTAGCCTAAATAACCATAACCTATATAGCCGGGTCTATCACATATTAGGTTCCTCTAAACATTTCCGTTGTGTTCCCTGCTATTTGAAAGTGTTGTGAGAATATGCAGGCGTTTTCGTTAGTTCTTTGCGTTGTAAGAAAATGCAGCGTGTTTTATTTATTTGAGAGTGTTGTGAGAAAATGCAGCACATTTTATTACTTTGATTGCGTTTTGAGGATTTCCAGCATGTGTGCTGTCAAACAGATGAAGATCTATTCTTAATTTGCTGGCGTGTTTTGTAATTGCATGTGTTTTCTTAAATTTTAGCACGTTAAAGGTGCAGTAGGTGATCTGCCTAAATGCTAACCGGTTAGCATAATACGTTCAAAACGCAATCCCTCCCCTGCAGTCCAGTCAAGTCTCCTGAAATTATGAATGCGCACATTAAAGATTTCGGAGACCCACTAGATCATGTCATCCACAAATTAGAAGTCTTCATAGTGCTTTGAAATACTACAATTCCTAACAAAACATCTGCATTATATCGAGCACGTTTTCAGTTGTGTAGTCATGTATTTCATGCATGCGAGGATCGCTGGTCTCACTCTCTAACGTGATTTGTCCTAAAGTGACTACTGTATGCTTAGTGGTTGGCCGGCGAGATGCAAGAATTACACTTATTACTGAACAAAACTTGCGTGCTATTTCAGACCGAATATTCAGAGTAGCATGGCAAACAATATAGGGACGCATCACAGGCTGTCATTGTTTAAAAATGAATTTAAAACCAGCTTAGTAAAGCAGGCTAGGTGGAATAGCGCAATTGACTAATGTTTTGTTGTTAAACTAGATAAAAATCTACATTATCGATGCTGTAAAAGGTCCCTTATGAAACTGAACTGTTTCATCAATCTCTCACCGGAAGATTTCAGTGGCTGAACAACACTTCTGTGCATATAACCCATTCGTAAAACAACACAATCTACATCAGCTTTGCGTGACAAAAGAGCTTAGAATGACCAAGAGGTGACACTCAATAGAACGTTCCATTGCAACAGCAGCGCCCAGCAACAACCCCCGATTCCGCTATTTTGGAGTGAAAGCGATCGGCAGTCCATTGGATCTTATTGCTATCTTGATGGCAAGCAGCTGCCTTGTTTTTTATTTATTTATTTAAAAATCGCATTAAAGCTGAGAGACAACCTGTAAGACAGCAATACAACACTTACTGTCACTATCATCAGCACTTTTAATAGTTTATTTTAGACTTATAATATGCTGTTGTTCTATTGAAGTTTTCATTCCAAAATGGCCACCGCGCCATCTAGTGGCTGTTTCCCAAATCGCACTACGGTGATTCTATGCTCTTTGGCATGACTAAAATAGTTTTAAAACATAACATTACCTGTCTAAGTGAAATACTTCAGCCATGGTGTCATCCTTCCTCCTGCGTGAATAACAACCCCAATATTGATTCAGGATTTTAAAAAGCTTTGATTCAGCATTTGTTTTTCTCGCTGTAAGTGTCTACGTGACCGCGGCGTGTGTTGCAGATCTGCGTGAACAGGGGTGTGCAGTTGTACAAATCTACATTTGCTGACAGACGGTTTGGGCTACTTATCAGAATAATGGAATTATCAGCCTGACAATATTTAATTGGATGAACACTTTTTAGTTTTGTGCCTCACCCAGAATATAAAAATACACATAAATACATTTCGATCATTCTCTTTAATCATTACTTTTGGAATGTGAAGAGACTTTCAACCAGCACAGCACAAAATGTTTCTGAAGAGAATCACCTACTGCACCTTTAAGCTCTCCTGGCCACCGTAGAAATATCTTGAATAGCACTAAAATTATTTTAAATATTGCCCAATTTCCAGTATTTACTTCAGGAGCAACTGACAATTTTAAGTTAGTATTTAATATATTTATAGTACATTTGCATGTTTAATGACTGGTTAATGGTTACATGCTGGTGAACAGCACATACGGTTGAAGTCAAAATGATTAGCCCAGAGTTAATCAGATGTTTAACAGAGCAAGGAATTTTCCACAGAATGGGTTAGGGTTAACAGAATGTCTGATAATATTTTTTCTTCTGGAGAAAGTCTTATTTGTTTTGTTTGAGCAAGAATATATGCGTTTTTTATTAAAATGTTAATGTATGCGGTTTTTATATTAAAACAAGGTCAATATTATAAGCCCCTTTGAGCTATGTATTTTAAATTGTCCACAGAACAAACCACCGTTATACAATAGCTTGCCTAATTACTTTAACCTGCCTAGTTAATCTAGTTAAGCCTTAAATTGCACTTTAAGCTGAAGACTAGTATCTTGAACAATATCTGGTAAAATATTATTTACTGTCATCATGGCAAAGATAAAATAAATCAGTTATTAAAAATGAGTCATTAAAACTATTATGTTTAGAATTGTGTTGAAAAAATCTTCTCTCCGTTAAGCAGAAATATAGGGAAAATTATACAGGGGTAATAATAATTCAGGACGTCTAATAATTCAGACTTCAACTGTATATGCTGGTATTTTTTTGTGTATTTTGACTTTAAATGTTGTTTTTTCTTGCAGATTGGAACAACAGAGGCTGGAGCAGCAAGAGAGAGAGAGACTAGAAAGAGAGAGACAAGAGAGAGAACGGCAGGAAAGGGAAAGACAAGAGAGAGAAAGACAAGAGAGAGAACGACAAGAGAGAGAACGGCCAGTAGCTTCAGGTCAGCAGAAACTCTTTTACCTCAGTGGACATGAGTTTGCACTTATTTCTGAGTAAAAACCAGCAAAGGTGTTTTTTTTAATGGTATGGGGGGGGGGGGTGTATATAAGGGGTATATAAATATAAATGGGGAAAAGACAAGATATCCCTTTTTGGTTTCTGCATCATATTAAATTTTCAAAAGTGAGTTTATATGAAAAGAAAAGTTTAAAGTGTCTTCTTCAATGTTTAAAAATTTTCTCTGAAAGTAAAAATAAAATAGGTAACTGTAATATCTACACAGTATGAATCATTTGTTAAGCTTTAGCTAATAGTGAATTTATTATCTGTTAAGCATTAACTCTACATTAATAAACCTTAATAAGCAATTTATAAATACAAATGCTGTATTCTTGAATTATAAGCACATGTATAATAAGCTTAATGATTGTGTTTTCATACTTTGTTATCTTATTAATTGTTCATTTCTATATTAAGTATTGCAATATTTACAAACCATTTGTATTTAAGAGCAGTTGGTGTTTTTTAGGATTAGTTAGTAAATGATTAATAAACTATCCAAGTCAACATTCATATAAGTTATTATTCAGGCTTATAGTAATGGTTACTGTGTATGTTTAAGAGCCATGAACCTACCCCCGATTCGAAAAGTGAGTCAGTCCATGATTGTTTTGGTGATAGGGTTGAGTGGCAAAAAAAGGAATGGTTTGCATTATAAGGGGAGTTTCAGTTTGAGCACATGCTGATTTTTAGAGGCAAATCAACACAGGGAGAAAAAGAACAGGGGAGAAAGACAGTGACTGTGTTTACATGGACATCAGTAATCAATTTATTTGCCAAATTATTAATTTTTGTGACCTAATCTAAAGTAAGGACTATTTAAGCTTTGTAAGTCCGTTATGAATGACAATTAAAGGCTTAGTATTAATACAATACATGTGTGCAATCTTATCTAAAAATAAAATTACTGTAAAGTTTAAACATTGCTGAATAACAAGAGTGTTACAATACAATTAGAAATAAATACAAATAAATAAAATTGGATAAAATAACAACAATATAATATTTTAACAATTATTATTATGCAACATTTCAATGTTATTTAGCGAAGTTTAAACTGTACAGTAGTTTTATTTTAGATAAGCTTGCAAAGATTTATTTTTCATTTGATTCAGTTTCGTTTGTGTGTCTTCAAAGGAATAAAAATGAATAAAGTCGTTTATTTTCTTTTTCCTGTTTAGAATAGAACTGAGCCTTTAATTGTAATTTATAAGGGATTTACAAAGCATAATTAGTCTTCACTTTAGATTAGGTTATAATAACTGGATGAAGTTGAGTTAATAAAGCATTTATTAGCATACTAATGAACTATTATATGCCTGAATAATAAGATATATGAATGTTAATTTGAATAGTTTATTAATCATTTACTTACACATTATGAATGATCTTAAAATATCAACTATTATTAAATATGTAGTTTGTAAATAATACAATACTTAATAATACAAATAATCATTAACAAAGTATAAAAATACAATCATTCAGCTCAGTGCACATGTGTTTATAAGTCAGAAATACAGCTTTTTTATCTGCAGTTATAAACTGCTTCCTAACGTCTACTGTAGAGTTAATGCTTAACGAATTATGAATTAACATTTTGCTAATGCTTAACAAATGATTCATAGTGTGTAGTTAGTATAAAGAGTTACTAAAAAAATCAAACTGTGAATTTTACCATTTGCTCTTTAAAATGAACACAACTCAAATAACTAGTTCTAAAAATCTATTTGTTTTATAGGCTTATTTTGTTTAAATATGATACTGTTAATAATTGTGGTTAATCATAATGTGTATACACTTAAGAATATGTTAATATTATATTTGCCCATAGCTTGAGATTCACAGATGTTCTCTTTTATTGATGCCTACATACTGCATTATGTGACCTTGATATCTGCTTCAAACACTCAGCTCATTACCCGCACCATAATTATGTAACCAAACCAGACAGTTTTTTTTTCAGACTGCTAAAAATAGCAGTAAAAGTCACTTTGTTCAACTTTTTGAAGATCACGCTCCCATGATGCAATCTGAAAATGTAAATGAATGGAAAACATCCATGAATCACTGTTAATTAAATAGACAGTTAACCCAAAAATAAATAAAAAAAATCCATCATTCGCTCATCCTTCGCTTATTCAAAATCTATTTGAGTTTCTTTCTTCTGTTGATCACAAAAGAAGATATTTAGAAAAATCCTGGTTTCTTAAACCAGGGGTTCCCAAACTTTTCAGCCTGCAACCCCCAAAATAAAAATGCCAGTGACTTGAAACCCCCAATATCCTCTGAGGTGGTTATAAATACAGAAACCTTGCATGCAATGGTGCGCACACACCAATAGGCCCAAGTGTATTCTTAATTTTTTTTCTGTATGTGAGTGCTGTAAATGTGTCAAAGTTTAATCTGGTGCCCTAAAATCAGTCTGCTGCATCTGATGCTATTGCTGTGTCTTTAATATAACCTAATCACTGCAGGGGTCGCAATCCAATAGAACTATAAGCTACTGCAGTAAGTAAATGGTATATAGTAACTGTAAACTTCTATTTTTGTCTTCAGTAGGATATGGGTAAAATATGGTAATTCTAATAGTTTAATAAAATGAATTAGGTTTTTGGAAATCACCAAGCGACCCCATCCCCTCTTTCATTGTTCCGACCCCCACTTTGGGAACCACTGGCTTAAGCCTGATTTATACTTTCGTCTGGCACCGTGTCACGGACCTCCACTGACTGCGGGCTCACCTCACGAAATGGACAAGGTTTTTATACTTGACGTGTTAGCCAAACAGGGCATCAGTTTATTGTAAACCGAAAGGTTCAAATATTCCTTTCCTGTTATCAAAGTAATAATTTGTTCCTTAATAATAGTTTTGTAACTAATAAATTGTTTTAAATTCAAAATTGTAATATACATCAGTGTTAAACCCTTCAATGGTGGGAAAAATACATTCTTTAATTGTGTACATGGGTCTCCGCATCCTCTTTTGGCTTTAACAAACTTATCCCATGGGTTTTTCCAAAATTTTTAACAAAAACTTTTTTTCCTCTCACACAGCTGCTGCAATTTCTAGCCAATAATTATCGGTCATCTAGTTCTCCCTATGATCAGGCAGTCGTACAGTACCCGCTTCAGACAAAATCTCTTCAAAGTGTTTCATACTCAACTCAAATCAAACGCAGAGCCGCGCACACTGTTCGCTCGAGTCTCAAAAAAAATCATGCGCTCAGCCAGCCGAAATCATGTGGCGCACACCCAAAATGAACCTCCGCAAACACATCGATGAGGTCACATTTGCCGCGCACACTCAAGCGAACTAGCCAATGCGTTGAGTATAAACCAGACTATAAACCCATTGACTTCTATAATAACTCTGTTTCCCATTATGGAAGTCGTTGGGCTAGCAGCATTCTTCAGAATATCTTCGTTTGTGATCAACAGAAGAGAAAACTCATGAAGGTTTAAGGGGGAATAAATTATGAGGTAATTTTTCATTTTTAACTAGTATATTTTTATACTGATGTTAAATCGTACTAAATGTTTACTATTTTAGAATTATTTTTTTAGCTTTGCCATTAAACTGAATAGGGGGTCAAATGTTTTGGGTATCCTTTCACAAGCTTCTCACAATAGTTTGCTGGAATTTTGGCCCTTTCCTCCTGACAGAATTGGTGAAACTGAGTCAGATTTGTTGGCTGTCTTGCTCACACATGCTTTTTCAACTCTGCCCACACATTTTGAGATCAGGGCTTCGTGATGGCCTCTCCAAAACTTTCACTGTTGTTCTTAAAGCATGTTTTAACTAATTTGGCAGTATGCTTAGGGTCATGGTTATAGTGTTCTTTCTTCATGATGTTACGTGTTCAAGATGTTAAATAATTAAATGGATGAAACGTAACAATCAGTGAGTCGATTGATGCTGGGAATAAATTATGAGGTAATTTTTCATTTTTAACTAGTATATTTTCCTATTGTACATTTTACTGTGCTTTTTTGGGATGAGTAGTTTTCCCTAAGCAAAGAAATTCAAGTACATAATCTTTTTGTCTTTTTAAATACCTTTTTGTCCTAATTGTATTAATTTCATCTGGTTGGTTTGGTTATTATTTGAAACACTGTAGCTCAGTGAACGTTTTCTGTTTTTCTTTTTCTGTAGTTGTGATTCCTCCAGCGCCGCCTTTGGCCCCTGGAGGCCCTCCAGCTCCCCCGGGACCCCCACCTCCCCCTGGACCCCCTCCATCTGGACCTCCTCCACCACCTGGGCCTCCGCCTTCAGGAGGAGGAGCTCCACCGCCTCCTGCTCCACCACTGCCCTCTTCTGGAGGAAGTGATGGGGGTGGAGGACCTGGTGGTGGTGGTGGTCTCGCTGCTGCTCTGGCAGCTGCCAAACTTCGCAAAGTGCCCAAGGTGAGATTATTCACAAAAAGAGGATAGTTGCATCCCAAATGACACTTTATGCACTTATAGACTCAGCCATGTAGTGTATGAGTATCTATTGCCATTAAACTGAATAGGGGGTCAAATATTTTGGGTATCCTTTCACAAGCTTCTCACAATAGTTTGCTGGAATTTTGGCCCTTTCCTCCTGACAGAATTGGTGAAACTGAGTCAGATTTGTTGGCTGTCTTGCTCACACATGCTTTTTCAACTCTGCCCACACATTTTCTATAGGATTGAGATCAGGGCTTCGTGATGGCCTCTCCAAAACTTTCACTGTTGTTCTTAAAGCATATTTTAACTATTTTGGCAGTATGCTTAGGGTCATGGTTATAGTGTTCTTTCTTCATGATGTTACGTGTTTAAGATGTTAAATAATTAAATGGATAAAACGTAACAATCAGTGAGTCGATTGATGCTGGATAAATGAGGAGAAGACACAGACGCTTGATAAGTGAAACAAAAAGTAAGTATTTATTAATGGATAATGTCAAACAATGAATATGAAATGTTAGGTAAATGTAATTTATAAATAAATAAAGAAAATAAATAAAGAAAACAGGAGTGTTGCCAAAACAAAGAAATAAATATAACAGAATGATCTAACTAAACCCCAACCCACTAAACTGATTGATCAAAGAAAAATGCAGAAACAAAACCGTAATCTTCAGCACGTAGCTTAACTAAACTTCATAACTTCAAAACATAATTACACATGTGGCAACGCCTCCATAAACTAACTAATATAGAATTATACTAAGCTGCTCGCATTACTAGAATTCTCGCAAAGTACACACTGTTAGCCATTAGCAAAACAAGATCTCAGGTAATCCAATTCTCATAAAGATCATTCAAATTCTCACTAGACAATAAACTGAGCAGCACAAGTTTATCTAATAATCAATCTGTCACTAAAGAGAAAACTAGAACACAGCAAACGAAATCAAACTAAGCGAAACAAACAAGCGAACAGTCCGGTCGACACAAGTGAGGAGACTGGCAGTAAGCCAAGCGCTCCTCCAGAACAGCGCAAGCGCAGGGCTTTTATACTGCGCGGACCCAATCCTTATTGGCGCCGATTGAGTGACGAAGGTAATTGACAGCTCACTCTCGACCAATGGTAGCACACCTGAAACAGGATAGGACCACAACAAGAGAGAGTTAGAGATCAGAGCGCAAAACAGAAAAACAACAAAATACCACAAAACATACGTGAAACGTAACAATGATGCCATCTATTCTGTGAAGTGCACTAGTCCCTCCTGCAGAAAAAACAGCCCCACAACATGATGCTGTCACCCCCATACTTCACAGTTCTGATGTAAGCTTCACTCTTTGTCCTCCAAATGTAACTCTGGTCATTATAGCCAACCAGTTCAATATTAATTCAATCAGACCACAGAACGTGTCTCCAAAAATCAAAGTCTTTTTTCTAGTGTGATTTTGCAAATTGTAATCTGGCTTTTGTATGATGCTTTTGGAGTAATGGCTTTTTCCTTGCTGAGTGGCCTTTCAGCTCATATTGGTATTGACTCGTTTCACTGTGTATAATATAACTCTCTTACCAGCTTCAGCCAGCATTTCACAACATCTTTTGCGTTTGTTCTGGGGTTAATACACATAGTTTGCACCATAGCGCGTTCATCTCTGGGACACAGAATCCTTCTCCTTCCTGAGCGGTATGATGGCTGGACATTCCCATATACTTGAGTAAAATTGTTTGAATGTGGTACCTTCAGGCATCTATAAATTGTACCCAAAGAACAACCAGATTTTTGGAGGTCCGATTCTCATCCTGATGTCTTGGCTGATTTTTTTGATTTTCCCCTGTTGTGACGCAAGGAAGCAGTGTGTTTGAGGTTTTCCTAAATACTAATCTACAGTTGTGCCTCCAATTAACTGAAATGTTGTCAATAAGCCAATCAGAAACTTTCAAAACCTTAACATCACCATCTGGGCTTGTTCAGGGGCATAATAATCTTATGTAAAACTTTGACTTTCAAGAAAATTACTCAAAAAAAATTCTCAAAAACTTTCTCTGATTGTTCTGCCATTAAGCAAGTAGAAACAATTTTAGTGATCCTAACTTACCTAAAAGAGAAAAAGTTTAGTCACATTTAACATCTGACATTTTATTTTTTAATTCTTATGTGCGTTTTTATATAGTGTATGTAAACTTTTGGTTTTAACTGTAGTAACTGCGGTGGGTATAACTTCATTCACCATCGGGAAGCAACACAATCACTTACTGTGGGGGAAATAAGTATTGAACATGTCACAATTTTTCTCAGAAAACATATTTCTAAAAGTGCACAGTTGAAACTTTCCCCAGATGTTGCTAACAACCAAAGAAATCCACATATGCAAAGAAAACAAAACTAATTAGTTTACAAATGACGTTATGTGTAACAAAATGAAATGACGCAGAAGAAAAAGTATTGAACACATGAAGAAAGGGAGGTGTAGAAAGGCATTGAAGACCCAGACAGCAGCTGGCATCTCTCAGTAGTTCTTCAGCAACCCTCTGCCCTTCCTCATTGTAAAGTAATATTTGCTGCTTCAGTCCAACATCTACATTAGCAGGATGATTAAGATGAAACCAGGGTGGACATTTGAGCAAGACAATGATTCAAAACACAGCCAAGGAAACTCTCAAATGCTTTCAGAGAAAGAAAATCAAGCTGTAGAATGGCCCAGCCAATCACCTGACTTGAATCCAATAAAGAATACAAAATAAAGATCAGATTTAATCTGAAGTGTTCATCATTCCACACTTCTGTTTTATCAGTTGAATAAATGCATTATCCAGGTATTTAAAGTGCACTTAATCATTTTAGAATTTTCAGTGTGAATGCACTTCTTTCTTTTTACACTACAGAATAGTGCACAAGTAGGGATTTGGGACGCGTCTGATGTCTAGATGCGTCACTTTCTGACATGATGACTTTAAAAATACTTTTATTTTAGTAGATCATTTGTGCATTTCAAAATTTCTTATTTTATTGAATTTCTTATATAGATTCACATGTTATTTAGTGATGTTTCATCTAAAGGAACTGAAACAAATCACATGAAATAACAAGGTTAAAAAATAATCTATATACAGTGCTGGACAAAATTATTAAAACAACTTACAGATCCTAAAATATTGATGTTTTCCCTCTAAAACATGATTTAATTTCATATTATTCATGAAACATGCAGATGTTTGCACTGAGCACAGCAAATACCACTAATATTTGGTGTGTCCACCTTTTGACGGCATGTTTTTTTTGGCAGAGTGTCTGAGTATATTTTCAGCTCATGGACTCTAATGTTAATCTATGCCTTCTGGAGCTTAAGACAAAGGCTTTCCTTTTAATTCTATGAATGAACATGATTGCGTGATGTTTTCAGTGAAATAGGTGTATATTTGTGAGGAAAATTACCTAAATCTTTATGATGGTTCTATTTTATTATTTACTGAATTTTATTCCACTGAATTGGCTCTATCACTGTCTACCCACTTCTCCATTAACTGGTGTGTGTGGTGTTCACACTGGCACTGTTGTCCTGTGGCTGCCGTCGCATCATCCAAGTGGATGCTGCACACTGGTGGTGGTGTGGAGAGGTGAATGAATGATTGTAAAGCGCTTTGGGTGTAT